CCTTTTTCACTTCCCAACTCACATCTTTCAATACAGTCACACCTTTATAGCTCTTCCTCACATTTTCAAGCTTAACACCAGAAGAAATACCTGAAGCCCCGGAATTTGAATTCTTTTTACCACGTTTATGCTCAAATTCATTCTTAGAATTATCCGAAAACAAAGATTCAATATCGTTTTCGGCCGTAGTTTCGGGTACCGATGTTTCGACGGCCAAAGCCGATATCCGGGTTGGAATTTTAGCATTCGGCCTTCTGGGTTTGTATAAATTAGTGGTTTTGATAGAATTGGTGTTGTTACCTCTAGTTGATTGAGCAGATATTCGATTTGAAACTGAGCAAAGCCGAGGTGGGAAAGCGGTCATTCGGGCATCGAAATGGGCTGAACCAGTGAGGAAGCTCGAGCGGAGGTCAAGGCGGTGAAGCTTAGAAGTCAAATCCATGGCTTGGAAGTGAGAAAGCGAGGGAAATTCTTTTGGTGAGTGAGAGGCTTTGGGGAAGATAAGCACAAGTTTTGGTGGACATGAATTGGAGAAGAGAGAGAGAGAGGTAGAGGGCAGAGTGTGGAGTTTCTCTCTCTGTCTCTGTGAGAAAAACTCTCAGCCTACGAATACGAATATATTGGTGTAATATGTGGACTTTAAAATACCCTCGTAAAAATAGTTAGAGAGAGACAGAGAATGGATAGAAAAGGAGCGTTCTTTTTACACTACTGGTATTCTATCGTTTGTCATTGTTTTCTGTTTTTTTTATTCTAATTGTCTTTTTTTGCTTCAAATCTTTTTCTATTTATCATTGTTTACGATATTGGAAAATGGTAGCCGAAGACGGTATATTATTATTATTTTGAAGTATATTCCATATTATCAATGACAACCTTTTATGTTTGTTAATCCCATTTAACTTTCTTTTTTATATTTGTGTTGTGATTTTATCAACTTAGCACCCCAACGGGTTTAGTTTAATGAAAATGGGCATTGATCTGCATCTTTATAAGAAATCTGTGTGCCTTTTGTAATTTAGACTATCTCTTGTATTAAAATAATAATAATTGTCTTGGCACGATAATCACTGATCTCAAGTTCGAACCAAAAATCACCTCAGCACGAAAATCAAACTGATAAAAATTAAAAACTAATGTCAATAAGACAAAAAAAGTTAATAAAACAAAGCAAAGAATTAACGACTGAAAATTTTAGTAAAATCCTGTCCACGTTTATTCTATCGTTTGTCATTGTTTTCTGTTTTTTTATTCTAATTGTCTTTTTTTGCTTCAAATCTTTTTCTATTTATCATTGTTTACGATATTGGAAAATGGTAGCCGAAGACGGTATATTATTATTATTTTGAAGTATATTCCATGTTATCAATGACAACCTTTTATGTTTGTTAATCCCATTTAACTTTCTTTCTTATATTTGTGTTGTGATTTTATCAACTTAGCACCCCAACGGGTTTAGTTTAATGAAAATGGGCATTGATCTGCATCTTTATAAGAAACATGTGTCCCTTTTGTAATTTAGACTATCTCTTATATTAAAATAATAATAATTGTCTTGGCATGATAATCACTTATCTCAAGTTCGAACCAAAAATCACCTCAGCACGAAAATCAAACTGATAAAATGAAAAATTAACGTCAATATGACAAAAAAAAGTTAATAAAACAAAGCAAAGAATTAACGACCGAAAATTTTAGTAAAATCCTGTCCACGTTGAGAGAGAGTTTTCATCTTTAATATATATGGAGAAAAAAATAAATAAATAAAGACTCAAAATTTTAGTTCCAAACTCGAACCCGTATCGTATAGAAGTCAATGTCATCCATTGTACGGTACCTCTGAAAATTAAAAGTAAAAGACATTCTGAATATTTTGTAGCCGCGAAAAATAAACATAACCTATTAATACGAGTTTCGTTTCGTGGTGCAGATTCTGCAAGGAGATCCTCAGAAATTGATAACATATCCCTTCATCTGATGCCACGTGCTATTCATTGTGAGGGTATCCTCAAGCCACGTCCCCATAACATATTTTAATTCAACAACATTTGATGAGATGAAAGTTTTGCAGTAAAAAATCAACAACTAATCTCACAATGAATAGCAAGTGGAATAGTCACGTCACATAAATCGTCCACGCATAGCTCTAGGTAGCAAAATAGTACTATTCCAACTAATCACAATTTCAATTGGTATATTGTAATTGATCGGAGATAATTATTCTCATTTCACACATGGCTCAAAATTTTCACTTTTAATGTATAATATCAATAAATATCTATACTAAATATCATATACAACTTATACCACGTAGTTGTACTCCAATACCACAATATAATACCTCCAATTACTGAGCCTACCTAGCCCATAATTTCCAGGGAGATTCATTATTATACCTAATATAAAAGCTCAAATTATTTATAAATAAAAAAAAACCTTATATGAAATGGACTTTAGAAACACACTCAAAACTCATTTACAACATAACAAAGAAGTTTTTAACTTCTTATAAATTATAAAACTGTCATCAATTTTTTAAAACAAGCCCCATCTCAAAACCTCATTAAAAAAAAAAAA